CCATTTGGGTGAATTTGTCGAAGAGAGCATCTCTCATTTGGGTGGTACATTGTTCTATAAATCATAACTCAAGCGGCTTTAACTGACTGTCTAGGTTAAAGATAACTCACGGTCGTTTGAATAATCAATTGAAACCTAGATACAACCGGTCTTTGCTTCAAAGCAACAAAAACGGTAACTGATATCCTTGTCAAATATAACCGGTCTTTGCCCAAAGGCACTACAGCCGGTTACAAAACCCAAATTAAGCAAGGTCAAAACCTTGGCAGTTAATTCATAACCTGGTTATGATGCATACGCTCGGCCAATGGCCGCCTACATCCTAACAAACGGCGATGGCAGGTTACCCAAAGGGTAACTCGCGCCCGGTTAAACGAATAATCTAGGTTGGCCCTAGCTGGCCCCGTCTGCTAATCCAACTTAGAGAATAACTTCTTTAAATATGGTCAATGACCGTCTATCTATCCGTCTGGATGCTTGATTGGACGGCTGCCTGCTAATTAAGCAAGCAACCGTCCAGGGGCAGGTAAAGCCAAGGCATCCGATATATCGCATGTGCTGAGTCACTTCGCAAAAAGATAAAGATTTGTACGAGCATATTTGAAAGTGTAAAAAATTGAATCACAATTGAAGCAAATTATATCAAAGGCAAAACCGACTCAGTCGGAAAATTATATTAATCAAATCATTGTCAGCCGAAACTACGTCCGGGGAAAAGAAGTACATGAAATATTCGGCTCGCAGGCTGGAGATAGAAAAAGAAAACCAAGTCACTGCTGCTGGCGAGGCTGAGACGTCTGGCCTTGGCCGGATGGAGGAGCATCTTGAGTTTGCTGGGGTTGAGCTTCATTAGCCTCACTCGGCGCCTGTTCTTCCGCCTGCTCCTCCTTTTCTTCCTCGACAATCCCAGCCCATTCCTCGAAGGGAGCCGGCTTCTCAAGCCCAAGGGTTTGAGCGTCGTACACCTCGGTGGCGTACTTGTACCTCAGCTCGAAAAACTCCCATTCGGTGTCCGGGTGGATGAGGGTCTAGGCCATTTTCATGCGGGCCTCGCAGTCCCGCTCATTCTCACCAACGAGCCGGTCCCGCTCAGCTTCCAGCTTAGCTTTGTGATCCGCCTGCATCTGGGCCAACTCGTTCTTCAACCGGGAGATGTCTGCCCGCAGCTGGGTGTTCTCCTTATCGGCCTCCCCCAATGCTTTGACATAAGCTTGAGGTTGTTCACTTGCAGCTCGAAATCAGCCGCCTTCTTGTTGGCCGTTTCAGCAGCAGCCGTGATCTCCTTGTTTTTCTCCTCCTGTTTCATCTCCCGGCTTTTAGTTTGAATTTCATACATTAGGGTGTTGTATTGAGTAATATATCAATAAGGTCAGCCGCCCGACTATTGGCGTCTCTTACCTCCTCTTGCTTCTTCCTCAAAGGAGCCTTGAGGTCGTCTACCCTTAGCATCACCTACAAGGTCAGCCGGAAAAAGGGTTAGTCTCATTAATGGTACAACTGGAAAAAAAGTAAATTGTACAAAAACACCCCAACCGGCCAATTACCTCAGTAAGTAGCGAGTTGATGCGGTCAATGTTGACCTGGTGCACACCCGACACCGCCTCTTTTTCGGACCGGGTGAGGGTCCTCAGCATCCTCTTAGCATACTGTTGGAGGTCAGGCCAACGAGAAGAGGCATCTACATCAACAGATTTATTTGTTAAGTATTGAGCATAGGCGGCACCTACATTCTGCTGACTGCCTGAAGAATCCCCTGATTGGGTAGCTTGGGACTTGACTCGCATAGGCCCAAGCGGCCAAGGGGGATCAAAGGTGAGTGTCATACCTTCATTTTCAGGCTGAGGGGTCATCCCACCCCCAGCCGCATTGGAACCGGTCGCTATAGCAAGCAGCTGGCTCGAGGGAGTTTCAGGCTCCCTCGTCTCAACCTCATCCGGTCCTGTTGTTAGGCCAAGGTCCTTCAGGCTCTTGCCTGCTGATGTGGGCCTGTCAGGCACAGGCGGCCTTCCAGAAGAGGGAAGGGCAGCCGGAAGCCTTCTGGATCTGGAAGCAGGCTGGGAGGGCTCCTCGCCCGGTCTTTTTAACATCTTTGTTAGAGAGCGAGGAACGTTCTTGCTCCCCGTCTAAAAAAGAAAACAAAACAGCCGGTTAATATCAGAATTGACTTCAAACTATACAGACGGTAATATCAGCCGGAGCTTACCCCATCATCTTTGGCCGCCAGTTGGGCTCTCTTCTTCTCTAATTGATCCTTCCGGATCTGAGCAGCAGACTTAGCAGACGTCTTCTCTGGAGGCACCATCTCTAATCCTTTCTCTGTAAAGAAGAAAATCAAAAAGTCAAATGCCATTCAAGAATGATACAGACGGCATAAAGTGTCGGTTATCAGTCAACATACGTCTGCTAAACATTGTGCTATGGCCACAAGCGGAAAGGAACGCCTCGTCCTTTAGCCAGTCCGGATGAGGGACCTAGTTCTTGGGGACAATGACTTCAGTCCCATCATCCAAAGACAGGGAGGTCTTCTTGAAGAGCCCCGTCTCCATTATTTGCGCCCAAGCCTCCTCCGGTACTCTAGGAAGGGCGCATTTCTTTCCAAGGAGAGTCGGGTGCTTATTGTAGTAACACAGCCGGTGGTTTAGGCGCAACGATGGGGAAGAAACCAAGTAAAACTTGCTCTTCTAACTGCTCCATTTTGACGGTTTATCAAGCGTCATCATGTATTCCGGATGCGTGGTCAATGTATACCACGCATTCCAGCCGCCTGGGGCACGGCTGAGGTAGTTCATATGTCCTGCATCTCGCAGGTGGCAATGTATCCTAATATATTCACCCAAGAATTGGGTGTTAACTACCAAACGCCAAGATCGTAGCCTCTTAGAATGGCTTTTATTGTATTACGGAGGGGGAACCGGAGGCTGGCTTTGAATTCCGCCTCATAACAGCCAAAATAGTCGTCGGCATGATCAAGGTCGTCATCCCAGACAACGTTGCCTCTACAGGTGGCACCACAATTTCCCATCCTTGCCCAACCGGGCGCTTCTGTAAAAATCCGGGTAAGGTGGCGTTTAGAGTGACTACATCCCTGACAGTCATGTGCGCCTCTGTTGGATTATTGATGGAGGGCCATTTATACGCCTCCACATCCTCTTGGGGGGAATCCGGTTCCATGGTAGACTCTGAAGAGTCTGATTATTGGACGGTCACTTCACCGCCTATATCCTCGGACTCTTCCAATATATTATCACTGGGCGTGCTAGGTACACCCGGATGGTCATAATGTACAATGTCAGCCGGAGCTTCGGCTGAGCCGTCTGACTGGTATTCGGGGTCTACAGTCGTCAGTCTCGTCCGAGCCATTCTGTCCTGCACATGAACAGAGACGGTCGGATTCGCAGAAGAGTAAGGGTGGTCCAAACACCCCTAGACGGCATCCACAACCCTGGACCCGGCCGTATCCGGTGACCGGCTGACAACTGTCCTAGGCCGTGCCGTGTGTGTGTTGGGTGAGTCCATTATTCTTTACAAGCTATACAACCGGAAAAACTCAAAAAAGTTGCAAGGGGTAGAGACGGTACCTTGAAAATGCTTGGAGTGTGGAGGAAGTAGGCTATCCGGATCAGCAGCCGGAAATCTCTGTGTTGCTTGCTAATACCCAGACGGTTGCCCGGATGTACCCTCTTCAAGAGCAATTGAAAATTGTTGCTTCCTCTGAAGTGTTGCTTGATGATACCCCAGACGGTTGACCGGTTATGGGTGTATTGAAAGCAAAGGGAACCAATCCAAAGACCCCCGGACGGTTGACCGACTGTGGGTGTATTGAAAGCTAGGAGGATGACAAAAGACCCTCAGGCGGTTTTAATAAGTTTTAAATAAAGAGCACTCAGACGGAAGCCGGTTGAGTGAAGAAAAGAAAGATGGTTGTGCAAGAAATAGCAGCCGGTATCAGAGCTTTCTCTCTTTCTCAAGAAAATTTCTCAAAAAATGGCAAAGTGTTGAAAATGAGGGGGGGGGATCTCTACTTATAGAGAACCCCAGAAGGAGACGAATTGTCACCTTCCCAATTCAAATTCAAATTTGAATTCAAAAAAAAAAAAAAAAAAAAAAAAAGGCGAAACGTCACCTTCTTAGAGCATGACACCTGTGAGGGGCAAATGTTTAGGGTAAAAATACCCTGTCCACGTGGCCCAATCACGTGCTGACACGTGTCATCATCAGAGAGGTTATGAGAGAACCAACCCTCTGGTGACACGTGGCTCTCTAACCTATGAAAGGAGAACTGATCTCCTCTCACTATAAATAGAGGAAAATCCTCATTTATTGCACATTCATAAATATACACACAAAACTCGAGCAATATTAATTACAGAATTCTCTAGGAATCCGAGAGAAAAACCTTTACATTCCGCATTTTTATACATCCGGACACGTTCTAATTTGATCGTCGAAGGCGAAACTCCACCCAACCGGAGTTTCCGTGATTTTGCAGGTACAGACGGTCGACGCACATTCTTGGAATTGTAACTCTCCCGAGGGACTCCAAAAACCCCGAAACAATAAGCTTGTAAATCACATGTTTCCTTTTACTACACTCATCCAAACATTGATATTCTCATATATGTATTATAGAAAAATATTAAAATTTGATTTTTAAAAAATATATATATTAAATTGAATCAAACAAAATCCAACATGATGATATTTTTTTTTCCCTTAATTAATTGAGAGGATATTAAATTTCCTAAAGTTCCAAATGAGTATTAAAAAAAAATTATAAAAATTAAAGATTCTAAATGAGACAATAAAAAGAGAAAGGGGAAAAGTGAATAGAAAGAGAAATATGGTAAGTAGGTATGTTCGTATCATCGTATGTATGTCAAAATGTATGAGAGGAAGTGGTGAGAAAATTTTATTTTTCCTCAAAAGTTGGATGGATCTTGAAAAGAAAAAACAGAGAAAAAAGTGATGTGGAGGAAGGAGAAACTGAATAAACATTAAGGGACGAAAAATAAAGCACGTCTTGAAATGGAGTACATTAAAATAGTTTCTTAAAATATCCTTGTTTGCTAGACTTTTGACATCATTTGAATATAACCATGGCCAAGTATTTGCCTCCTTTAATGCTATCATCCCATGGCGCCTCCATCTGTGCTATCATCGTACAAACATGCTGACCGCATATGCTTCTGCTTGAAGTGTCAAGGTAGCATATATGTTGTCTGTTTCGTCTGCCACTACGTTTGCTTCCTCCAAGTACCCTTCAATAAAATACAACAGCATGCAGCTTTCATTTCCTCTTCAACCTCGTTTAACTTTCAGTCCTATATTCTTCAGCTAATACGGAGTATCTCATTTGTTTCTCTCCTTTAAGTCCGTCAGTTCTTTTGAACTATCCCAAGTCCTACTTGGTGAGATTAGGCCTGCAATCTGAATTACCTCCCAATGAACCATATATACCCTAGGTTCTCGCCCTAGGGTATATACACTGTCACCTTAGATCAACCAATTTCTATTCTTTTCTTCAACCCCTTTACATTGACGACACATTCTACTTATTATCACAATTGCTCAGCCCATGCATACTTTACAGAGAAAGATTTAATTATATGCTGACAGTGAAGTGTATCTTCACGCTTCTTTGAAGTTTATGGCCATTTTCGTATTCTTTAAGTTCCTCGAACATAGCATGTTCCACAGAAAGCCTTCCAACTGCAAAACTGCAACCGGATGTTTAAACCCCGCTGCTCTTGAGAACTTTCTCAACAAAGCTCATAGGCTTTTATTCAGGTCTACATCAAAGATTGTTGATAACATGCTAGCTTTCTTCTTCTTCAGCATTTCATGAGCCACCAAACAATTATCATTTATAAAACTCCATGGTTAAAAAGGCATATTATCATTTATGACTAGCACAAATCATCCATGCGTGACTGAAAGAAACTGTCTCAGTAAAAGGCATATTATCATCTATAAAGCTCCATGCTAGCTTTCTTCTTCTTTGGCGTTTCGTGAGCCAAAAAACAATAATCATTTATGACTGGCTCACCAAATCATCCGTGACTGAAAGAAACTACCCCAGTAAGTACTTCAATGACTAAGAAGTATTACAAGGTCTAAACTGGGCATCATGTTCTGATTTGTCTATCTTCAGCATAAGGTACATGAATTGAGCCAAACCTATAATATATGAGCTTGACAAGCTCGAACTTAGTTTGAGATTGAGTCTAAATTTGTGCCAACCAAACAAAACTACTGTAAACTCCTCCCAGGAAGACTTGCTATCACCTATAATAAATTCTTGGTTTAAGGCTACTGGTTGCTGAGGTAATTGGTAGACAAATATTTCCCACTAACATTCAAGTTCACTTAAAGGAATAAAAGAGAATAATAGTCATTCATAGTCCCATTCCCATGCTAATTTTTATCGGGTTTAAGTTTACACGCTTATGATCCACTCAACATTCCTAAAGCACTAAAAAATCCAACCAGAGAAATGGATTCTTTTCCGAACACCTAAAGGGTAAAGCACTCTACAGTCCAACCAGAGATTTCTGTCTGACCACTCAACGAAGTACCTTATTGGTTAAAAAGTTTTTATTTTACAGACAACAAAGCTATTACTGCACAAAAACTGGAAAATATGCACCAGGGTAAAGGCCCAAGGCTTTCAACAATCAAATTAAAGCAAATCCAAGAAGCTAAATCCAAAAGGTCGATCACCTAACAAGGCTGATGGAATCAGCACCTGCAATTAAGTTCAAACACCCATGAAAGCTCGGCACTGAAATTGCCAATGTTCTTTTGCTTGCTTTATCCTCTCCAACCTTTCTGACTGAAGTCTCTCTTCCCAGTACTCATGGCACCTATACACAAGTGATGGATAAAGGACTCACAATATGTTAGTAATTGCAACATGAGTAAAAAAGGAGGGGGGGGGGGGTGATTAAAAAAAAAAAAAAAAGGACTCGACATCATATTATTTTCCCCCATCTCACTTGGCATTAGTGGAGCCTCAAAGAGATAAAAAGAAGGTGGGGGGGGGGGGGGGAATTACAAAAAATTTAATAAATGGAAAATACCTTCGGCTCAATAAAATATTAAGCTCCTCCAAGTGCAGAGCGCCCTCGTACACCCCAGGCTGAAATTAATGGCAAATGAGTTAAGTAAACATCCAGGTGAGTTGTTCTATGTATAAATATACACAGGGAACAAATGATGACATGTCGTTGCCATTTCACAGCAGCTAATGAATATATGTCTGAAGGTGATCTGAGGCCGTCTGATAGAAACAAAAGATTATAATATTGAAAGTTCAAGGGACAATAAACTAATGACATTGAAAAAGGAATTGTCTAGCATGTGTAGATAAAAGGAAACAGCCTCTATTTTATTATTCCACAATGCCAATTTTTTACTTTTTTTAAAAATTAATGTCAAAATACAATCATCAGTCTATCAAGCATGTAAAGGGCATTCATGATTAAGGCAAAGATTGAACGAGATAACATAAATAATTCAGTAAGGGCATGATTACCTCTCGGCACAATGGACACTTCTCCTTTGGAGATGTGGCCTGCAGGCCATCAACTATAGTCACAGATGCAGCATTGCAGGCACACATATAGCAGAATATATGGCCACAGGTAAGAGCAACAGGGTCAAACACTGTATCCTGTATAATATTAGAAGAGATAAACCACAATGTCAATTTCCCAGATCAGCTATGTACTAAACAATTCGAGAAGTTCCAGCCCATACAGATAATATTGATGATAATACACACAAGATAGAATTATCATATTGATCAAAGTCGCAAGCCACAATCGTACACAAACTAACCCTCACATGAATTTGTTTTAGGATATAAAGTAAACCTAATGTAGAAAAAAAAAAAAAGATAACTAATTTAAAATGGGTAACTTAAAAATGGTGTAACTAATATGAAGTAAAATTGGCTAACATTATCTTTTAATAATTACTTTCTTTAACAATTAATAAAAAAACCATACAACATATACGATAGATATAAAAGTAGCAAACACAGAACTTTTTTATCAATCGATATCTTATTTAGTAAAACCATAACAGTTGTTGATGAGCTCTAATGCTGATGAATATCCTCCATATTGTTGTTTGGTCTAGCCTACTACAAGGGGGTCTTTCAGGAAAAAAAAAAATAGCTGTCTTTTGAGCTTTATTTTTTATGCTTTTTGAATCACACTTCTACTGTTTTTTTACTTGCAACGCTTTAACTTTTAAGCTATTCATATACTCCACTTTGACTAACTTTGATGATTCATAAGTAAGGAAAAATATAGTCATGGGATCTTGTTAGACTCATCTCAATTTATACTTTCATTATATCACATTTTTATAATTTTTACATATTTGTAATTTAAATATTAGCAAATAAATTAATATATTGGCAATTGTGAAATGAGAAGTGTTGCAAATTTTGCAATCAGAGGAAGTATAATACGAAGTATAATATTAACTTCAATGATTTTTTTCAACTCATATGTAATTATGCAGTGAACAATCAAAATTGTGTATTGGCAAACATGAAAGTCAAATGGAGCAATTACAAGAGAATGAAGGGAGTATAAAGAAAACACAAAACAAAGCAATATTCTAGGGTGAGGAAAACATAGTAACATGCTGTCATGACTGGTGACAAGAAAAACTATTCAACATATCAACATGATGTTGCAAGGCAGCAGCTTCACATGCAAGGCCAGACCTGGGAAGTATTTTTCTTCCTTTGAAGTTCTAAAAGAGTATTTACATGAGTCAGCTACGATAACGATGATTGAAGAAGTCAATAGCATACTTTAATGTTGCTTGAAAGACAAAAAATCAAGCAACTAATTTTAATTACTCATATATATTATAAAAAATAACACAACTTGAGCATGCTAATCATATCGTGCTAGTTTCAGTGACATACACCTAAGATTGTATAAAGTTGAAGGGTTAGACATGGTGCAAATGAAGAACGAAAAGACATTTATACATACAAGGTAAGTATACTCACCAAACAAATAGAACAAGTCAAGTCAAGATCCACCTTCACAGAATCAAAGAGCTCACAAGTCAGTGACGGCTTTCCATCTGTAAATTTAAGAACGCAGCCCTCAAACAAATAAGGTCCCGTTCTTGCGTTTGCCTTTTTATCCCTTAAATTAATGTGAAAGGCCATGAGCTCACTAAGCCATGGCGATTGGAGGATCTCAACGTGCATCCTCTGAGCGCGTGATTTGAATTCTTGACCTTGCTTAGAATAATGAACCTATCCAATTGCAAGCATACCATCAGCATATTTTATAATACACTCAACTAATTCTTTAATATTTAATTGATTCTAAAGAATCCCAAGAATATCTTGAATAATAATATTCTACCTTATCATATTTCTTCAAAATTTTCCGAACTGCAATTGCATTGATCATGGCATAAGTGACAAGGTCCTGCCCCTCTTGAATCAAAGATACATGGTTATGCTTTCCTTTACACCATACATAATACTTCTTAAACCCCGTTGCTAAATGCAAGTCAAGCAACTTTCGAGCACGCTCATTGAAACAACCCACTACATCAGACATTTCTTTGAGAAGTGATGGGAAAAATGTACCATCGCATACTGCAAACACGGATTATCAGTTCTCATCATTAGAAACTGAACAACAACCACACATAAAACTCGCAAAAAAAACCACCTTAGGTTCTAGTTCCCCTAATTACCAAGCAATAATATTACTTTGAACAAGGGCATGGGAAAAAACAGACATTATTGTCTTATGTTCCAATTTGCATTTGTAACACCATCAATTAAAAGTTTCTTTCAGATACACCTTCAAATTAGCTCAAAAACCGTATGTTATAATCAAATCGGTTAATACAACCAACTAACAGCTAATTACCAAACAGGGTCATAAGCAATATTCCTCCATTTCTCAAGTATTCCCCTAACCAAAGATACAATTATAATGAACAAAAACATCTAACAATGCCATTGAACACGTGATTTGGTCATACATTTACACCTAAAAAACCTAATGCATAAGATGAATTTTTAGAGTATGTTCAATGAATCAATGTTCATTAATGTTTAATGTTTCTAAAGGTTCCGTTATTAAGTATCGGCTTTCAAAATTAGCATGATTAATATAAGTACGACTACGAAACTAAAAACTGACAATCGAAATTACCCTGATTAATATAAGTACGACTACGAAATTAAAAACTGACAATGAAATGGACTACTGTTAAACAAAATCCAGCAAAAAATAAATAAAAACACTTGTTGAAGCAGAACCCAAAGAATAAGGACAAAATGCGTATTTTACAAGGCTCGAGAAATAGAATGAAAACAATAAAAACACGTTTGACATTGCAAAGCACCAATACAGAGGATTTCGCCAAATCAACAAAAAAAAAAGGAATTATAATTAAATCATGATCACCCAAAGTACGAAAAGATTCAATCTTTTCTATATATTAATGATTTCCAGCTAATTTTAATAACAAAAAAGGCAAAACTTTTAATTATCATTCATCAATGTTCATAATTACAAACTTGTTTTTCAAGCTAAATCAAATCCCCATCAATCAAAATCCAATGAAAACAAAATTTTTGTCCACTCAAAAACATCCCTGTCAAAATAATCTAAATTGTCGAAATAACATAGAAATTGAATTAATTGATAATTAATTAATTACAATAATTAATACCAGTGTAAAATAATTCAAGGGAAATTACCAGGACATTGATGAGGGCAATTAGAAGGAATTAAATCACCATTATCATCACAGGAATTGTGGGAATCAATGTCATGCCTACACTTCTTCAGAATTTTCTTCAAATTTTTGAATCCAACTCCTGGAAACTCTCTCTCCCAATTTTGCATGTACTCTTGATATGTCTTGCAAAACTTCATGTTTTTTTAATTTTAATTTTTTATAATTTTTATAGCTTATTTTTCTTCAAAAAAACAAATACCCAGAAAATAAAAAGATAAACTTTTTTTTCAGAAATTAAAATGATAGAAAAAAACCAATCTTTATGAAGAACAAAATATACAAAAGACACTTTTTATGAGAAAAAAAGACAACAAAAAATATAATTAAGGATTTTTTTTTATGGATATTTAAAAGTTTTGGTTTTATATGAAAAAAGGTAGCTTAAAAAAGGGGAAGGAGTGCAGGAAAATGGTGAAAAATGTGAAAATGAGAGAAGGAGTTGGAGGTTTTATAGGAGGTGGTGGTTTCATAATAAATATGGGAAAAAATCAAAAAAAAAAAATTTAAAAAAAAGATTACAATTACAATTGAAAAAGGTAACGTATTTATGTTTCTTTCCTCTAAAAGCAAATTTATTAGACCCGTGTTTCTTTCTTTTTTCTCCTTTGATTTGATTTTTGGTTTTCGATTTTATTTATTGGTGTGGTGGGTGTAATTTTACTAATTTGTAATTGTAATAGACGACCCATGTCTACATGTTAGAGAAATGGAGTTTGAGAGTCTTGTGTTCATACTAAGGGAGAGGTGGACAAAATCTAAGAAATTGTGATCTTTATCTAAAACTAGTTTAGATATGTATGTCATGCGTAATTGCGTATAGGTACTTAGTGAGCAAGTATCAAGTATTTTGTGACATTTGAATGATATTTTTTATTAGTTTATTTGTGTGAAATATAATTTGTCGTCAATCTTGCAGGTGGAGTTGTAATCAATCCAATGACAATACATTTATATATAATTATATGATAGGAAATATACTTGTATATATTTTTTTCACTAACACTTTTAGTGCACATACTCATCTAGCATCCACAAAGTGTTGAATCTCAATGTATTATACTCTTATGTAGCTATGTTAGTTATGTATACTTTAATGATAACTTAATCAATTTCCTAGTGCATAGGAATGAGAAAGTACAAGTTTATCTTTAATTATATTCATGATTTACAAGTAATGTTTATATAAGAGTGAGAGATAGCTTAAGTACGTGGTTAGAGCTCTCCTCCTGGGTCTAGGTAATTTTGGGATCGATTTTCATCACTCGCCTTTATGGCTCTCTAAATACCAAAAAAAGTAATGTTTATTTAAGGTTAGCATGGTAATTTTGTCCATTAGTAAAAATAACCCCAAAAAATTTCATCAGACTCTTCGTTAACATCTACATTCTCTCTCCTACATTCTTCAAATCTCCTCCATCACTCAGAATTTGAAGAGGTTCAATGGAAAAATGATCAATTGTAATGGGCAAATCGTAGTGATTGACAAACCTATCTTTTGGACGGAGTTAACCATGCCCTTTGTTTCTCCATTTTTTTCTTAGGGTTCTCGTTAATTTCGATGGTGAAGCCGCCAAAAATATGGCGGCGGACATGTTGGTTCATGAGGAAGCTTCAATGGAGTGGAAAACTTCAATGGTGGAGCAAGCTTCAATGGAGATAAGTAGATGTTGTCCATTGAGGAAGAAAGGTTTCACGGTTGGAAAATTAACATTGTTACACTAATCTTTACAGTTGGACAACACTAAACAAAATAAAAATTTATGTTTATTAGCTGCACAATTCCAATGCCCAAAAATTACACAATTGTTAGATAAACCAATTTTGTTTATCATGAAGACAAACAGTACCAGCCTTATTTATATATATATATATATATATATATATATATATATATATATATATATATATATATATATATACTGGCTCCATTTCTGAAAGTTCGACTCACTTACTATTCATGTGTTCAAAATAAAATAAGTTTGACCACACTTTATGAGCTATACAATAGAAATAAATTAGCATGTGAGATCTTATTAGATTCCCCTTATTATAAATACTCCAAATATCAACTTTTTACAATCTTCACTTATACACAACCGGAGTTATTCATAGTAAAAAATGTTCATTGGAGACTACGCAATTGCAAAGTGAGTCAAACTTTCAGGAACGGAGGGAGTATATATGTTATAATGAGAACCAAAACTATAATAAGAACTAGGAACTAATCTAGGCCCTTAGATCATGTTGATCGGACGGTCCACATGCTTTCCGTGTCATTAATGGCATATCGTAATATTTCAACTCTACAAAATAATATCAAGTTTCATTTCTAAAAAGTAAATGAAAAATTAGTAAAAGTAAATGAAATCAGTTACAAAGTAAATGAAATTGCTTTAAAAGTTTAAAAAAAAATGGAAAAAGGTTTCAAAAGCTACGAAATTACGAAAATGCCATTAATGAATGCGGGTGAAACGTGAGCCGTCAGATAAAGCACGAATAAAGGCCGAGGTTGGTTCCTAGTTCTCATTATTCACCTTGGTTCTCACATGATCTCATATGTATATATATATACACACCAACCATAGCTTGGTCTAGTGGTAAGGTTTGCATGAGGTTATGGGATCAAACCCCACTAGAGGCACTTTGGGGATGGGAATTCCCTTACCCTTTCCCCCTACTCTCAAAGTAAAATACAACTATTTTCGTTTATGTGCATTGTAAAAGGCTGAGTTGAATTATTTTCCTTGTATATTCAATAGCATCTAATCATTTATATTTTTAAAAAAGAATTAAACATGTATATGTTCATCCAAACCATTATTAGTATGTTCATTTCATTATTACAACAATCACAGCATTGAAGCCTTCAATTCCAAATATTGAGTTCAAATTCAAATATCGTGTTCAAATTAATTAATATATAGCAAAAGGAAGATTCAAGGTTGAAGATATTAACAATATGATGACAAATTCTATCAATATATTGTAATTCAATTACAATTGTACAAATGCAATGAATATTGAAATATAAGCCATTTATTTCTTTTATTTGATAAAATCAATATTATGTGAAAATTTCAGTATTAACTAGTTCTTATTGGAAACTAAGCAAATCATGTTAATAAACTGATCATAATAAAATGTTTTAATTATTTTTGTAATAAACATATGTTATTGGACATATATCATTTCCATAAACAACATTTCAAAATCTCTCTCATTCTTTATCTCCAGGGCTACCGGCTAAGGACCTGTGCAAACAGACCTTTCGCTCAAGGCCCCGAAAATTAGAGGGCCTAATTTAATTTGGAGCCCATTTTTTCCTTCCAAATTAACTCTCCAGATCCATCTAATCTATAATTACTCCAATTAAATTAATTTGCAATTCCTATGTAAAACTTTCCATTTTCCTAAGTCCATTTAAAACTTGTAATTATTTTTTACATTGATCTATAATAATAATATTATTAAAACTCAAAGGCATGGTATTGCCACATGTCATCATTCATTTAAGAGTAAAGCATATAACTACTCCCTAAACTTAGCCAAAAGTTGCACTTTACTCACTAAACTCTTAAAAGTTGCAAGTTACTCACTGTTTCGGGGTTTCCTGATGTCCTGCGGGAGAGTTACAATTCCGAGACTGGAACCGGACGCCTGTACCTGCAAAATAACGGAGACTCTTGTGAGCTCCGCCTCCAACGGTCAAGTTAGTACCTGATTAAGGAGTAATTAATGCGGAAATTAAAGTGATTAGGTCTCTCTAGGTGAGAGTGTTTAATGTAGGTAATCTGCTTTGTTAGCGAGATCAGCCGATTATTACTGTGTGTAATTAATGTGTTTTTCCGTAATGTTTTTGTGTTCTTTTTTGTAATCCCCCTTAATGAGGATTAAGGGAGGTATTTATAACCTTGGGAAACGCGCCCATCCTAGGTTTAGGTAAACCTAGGGCCGATTGGGCTTCCCTCGGAAATTGGGCCTGGGTGGCCGGTTTCTCCATTAGGCATGGAGTATGCCACATGTCGTGACATAACAGGTCCAAGGTGGACGAATAAGCGCGTGCCACGTGGGAAGCCCTGGCTGTTCCAACTGGGGGACACTTGGCAGGACCTGATTGGTCCACGTGGCGCATTCCGATTGGTGGGAGCAAAATCCCCTAATCATTTGCCCCTCACAGGTGGCACGTGATTGGTCACGTGTTACCTGTGACAGGTGTCGCACTGTAACAGGCGACGGCCTGCTACAGCTGTCAGTCGGCGAAAGGACGAGAGATTTTCCCGCCCAAATTTTGAATTCTGAAAGTGACCCTTCGCCTTCTCACTTCGCTTATATAAGGGAGAGTTGTCTTGAGTCATTTTCACACTTTGAGAACTATTTGAGAACATTCGGACCCCTGAACTTGCTCTGACATTTTGGACCTTTTCAGCCTACCGCCTGTTCTGACAAGCCGACTGCACAAGATTTTCAGAACTTCATCAACCGTCACTCGTTCAGGTAACTCAGTTCTCTTACTCTTAATTTTCTTTTTATTTTCTGAAATGGCACCACGGAAGCACACGACACGACCTAGGTTAGTGATCAGCCGGTCACCGGGGACGGCTGAATCTAGGACTAGGAGTGCCGCCTGCCCTTTTCCGGACCCATCTTTGCCCTTTATACAAAGTCCGACTGTATCTGTGTCTATGCAGAGCAGGATGGCCAGAACGAAAAAGACAGCTAGGATCTCAAATTCAGACGGCTCCTCCCACAGGGTGCCGATTAGTGAAACATCTGACCAGGCGCCAGATGTGGAAGTGAAACAAGGCGGCCTGGATGCCGGCAATTCTGTGGGGGGAGTCATAGTGACCCCTTCCCATTTAACAGTTAACAAATCTGCTCCTTTTCAAAGAGAGGAGGCGGGCCCCTCCGGGAGAGGGGAGGAGTCGTCCTCTTCAGACTCGTCGGAGGACGATTCCGAGTCAAGCTCTTCTGGCCATGCTTCTTTGGGTACAGAAGAGAAAAACAGCCGCCTGCAAGAGGCGAGACTTTCTCACGCAGTTGAGAAGGGGGACAATTGGGCGGAACCATCCGCCTCTTACCGAGAGCTAAATACCCCCTACTACTGCACGGTACCTCGGGGCCGAATCACAGCCATGCAAGAGAAAGTGGAGAGCTTTATTGCAAACCACACCATGGGCCCCGACTTTCTAGTGTTTGTGTCGGATCCAGAAGACACAGTCGTCTGGCCGGCTGGTTCCAGTTATGAAAGCTCCTGCTTTGGCTGCTACGAGGCGGCCATCAAGGCAGGGCTTCGCTTCCCATTACATCCGGCTGTTCAGCAGATTTTGGATGGGTATGAGTTGGGGTTATGGCAGTTAGCCCCAAACTCCTGGGTCAACGTACTCGGCTATGTGGCCGGGTGCGAA